TGCCTGGCTTGGTTTTTTCCGTACACAGGTGTACTATCTCCCCACTTAGATGAAAAGTTTGACAAGGTTAGGGGCAAGCTGTACACTTCCTGGTATTTTCCACTCTTTATTCTCTTTCCCTCAGTATCTTGGATATAACAGAGATACACATACTGGATGCTGATGCTGTTGTTGGGTGCTGTCCGGTAGATTCCGACTCAAACTGCCCCATGGGACAGCATAGAGCTGCCCCATAGGGTTTTTTCTAGGATGTAATCTTTATGGGAGCAGACCACCAGGTCTTTCTACCTTGGAGCCGCTGGGTGGGTTTCAATCATCGACCCTTTGGTTAGCAGCCGGGAGCTTAATTGTGGGGCCAGCAGGCCTCCTAAGAGTAGTAGGCAGTACAAGCTAAAGTTAAAGAAACAAGAAAATGGTTTAGAGGCACATAGTATTTAAAACATTATTTTATGTCCCTATTTACCCGAGGAGAGTATTTGACTTGTTTTCCCAAGCTCCACTGAGCAGGGGCCGAAATCCAAGTTTGTCTTTAGTTCCCTGCTGAGTTTACGAACTATCACTTTCCACTCATTTTTAAGTGTTTAATAATGGAGTAACGGCCAAGAGGTGTGTGTGGGGTCATGAGTCAGGAAAATGTGAAGAGGCCTCGCTGATCCAAATGTGAATCTATAGAAGCTTTTTCGTTGCTATTGTTCTCTTTTGGATCAAAGACGTGTAGCTCGAACACCGCACTGACTGTGGCCGTAGAAACTAGGTCCCTGGTTCTGGAAAGTTGTGGGAGAGAATATGTCAAATTTCTCTTATGAAAATAGGTCTTTAGTGCATCCCGGAGTCCCTGTAGAAGTAAAAAACTGCTTTACGTGTGGGCTGCAAATGAACCCCACGCTGGGAAACCTTGTATTTTATTTCGAAGGAAGAAGGAGTGCCCTAAAATGCAAATTTGGGTGAGTATGTGGTTAAATGGAGCAGTGGTTAAGAGCTTGGCTGCTAACCCAAAGGTTGGCAGTTCAAATCCACCAGCTGCTCCTTGGAAACCCTATGGGGCAGTTCTATAGGGTCCTGTAGGGTCGCCATGAGTCAGAATCGACTTGACGGCAACGGGTTTGCTTTTTTGGGTATGCAGTTCAGCGTTCGCCTACTAGCTGGAAGGTTAGTGGTTCGAACCCAACCAGAGCGGCTCGGAAGAAAGGCCTGGCAATTTGCTTCCGAAAGGTCACAGCCTTGAAAACCCCATGGAGCAGTTCTACTCTGCACACGTGGGGTCGCCGTGAGTCGGAATCAACTTGGCAGCAACTAACAACAACAATGTGAATTTGGATCCGATTTATGATCAAAAGTTGCAGCGCCTTAATTTAAGAATATTTTAAAATGTATTTATTTATGCTTGGCGCCCGCTTCTTTATTGCTTTGTGAAAACCCATGTGTTGTGTTTTAATTATATGTAAGATACACTCCATATTAGAAGAAGCCTCATAAATGGGCCTTTGTTCAAGGCTCTTAAAACAAACAACAATAAAAAGGAGGTGGTTTCTAGAAGCTGCTTTGATGAAATTTCACCGGCTGGTATCTGTACATAATCAGGTGTCCAAAGAAAGGGTAACAATGAGGCTATTCAGGCAGGGTGGTGGAAAACACAGGCAGAGACGTTGTTTATGCCCCGACAACTGGGTCATTAATAACCTTCATCTTTAGATCGGTTACATTGGCTTTGTGTAGACACGGCCAGTCGTACATGTTTAAAAAAGGATAAATATCTATTTGCATATACCTTGCTAATCAAGAATATGTTCTTTTTTTTTATAAAGGTCTATTAGAATTTATTACTGTAAACAAACCAGTCGTAACCACTCGCTTCTGTTTGCTTAAGCAGTTGCTGTCCAGTCGATTCTGAATCATGGCAACCCCAAGTGTGCAGAGTAGAACGGTGCTGCATAGGGTTTTCAGTGGCTGTGATCTTTCAGATGGAGATTACTAGGCTTTTCTTCAGAGGTGCCCCTGGGTGGATTCAAACCACCAGCCTTTCAGTTAGTAGCCCACTGCGTAACTGTTTGTGCCACCCAGGGACTCGGCATACTTTGCATTGCAATACTAGCCCTTTTGGAGTAAGTTCTTAGGTCCCAGTGTCAAGGTTGCAACAGATTTGCTTCACTTTGGAGCCCCTGGGTGGTGCATATGGTTAGCACGCTCAGTTGCTAAGCGAAAGGTTGGAGATTTGAGCCCACCTAGAGGCACTGCCGTGGTTAAGCTTTCAGCTGCTAACCGAAAGGTCAATAGTTCAAATCCACCAGCCGCTCCTCGTAGACCTTATGGGGCAGTTCTGCTCTGTCCTATAGGGTCTCTATGAGTTGGAACTGACTTGATGGCAACGGGGTTGGTTTTTGTTTTAGAGGCACCTTGGAAGAAAGGCCTGGTGATCTATTTCTGAAAAAGCAGCCATTGAAAACCGTATGGAGTATATAGTTTTACCAACACACGAGAAATGGCCATGGCAATTGTTTTTTTATTTCACTTTACTTCATTCTTTACTTCACTTACTTAAACAAAGCAAATCTTTAAGTGCTTGGCTGCTAACTGAAAGCTCCGCGGGAGAAAGACCTGGCAATCTGCTCCCATAAAGATTACAGCCTAGAACACTCTACAGGACAGTTCTACTCTGTCACAAGGGTTTAGTTGGAGTCGGAATTGACTCGACGGCACCTAACAACCTAACAATGACTGCTTTATTTGAGAAGCTTTTTTTTCTTTTCTTTTTAAAATATAATTTAAGAAAGTGTCTTTAAGTCCTTACCATGACATTTACTAAAAAAACGCTCCATGAAACTGTATTTTCATCTCGCCACCCATGATCCTGACTGATGGACATGCTGTTTCATTGACGGGGAATGTTCTTTATGCAGCTTCACTAAGCCGCGTCTTTCTTCCTCTTCTGCTGTCACATCACTCAGAATTCACAGCCGGGTTTTCCTTGTCCTCTAATGCAAGTCACAGGCAACCAAGTTGCCTAACACATTTACTGCTAACCGAAATGTTGGAGGTTTGAGTCTACCTAGAGGCGCCTTGGAAGAAAGGCCTGGTGATCTACTTCCAAAAAACCAGCCAGTGGGGCACAGTTCTACTCTAACGTACATGGGGTGGCCATGAGTTGGAATCAATTCCATGGCAACAGGTGCTTTTTTTGGACTGGTTTTTAAGAAAGATGACAATGTACGTAGCCTTCTTTCACTCCTGCAATTATATTGACTATTGTACAAGTTCCCTGCGCTCAACTATTAACCTAACGGTTGACACTCTGAACGCACACAGTGACAGAATGGAAAAAAGGCCTGGCAATCTGCTTTCCTAAAGATTACAACCAAGAAAACCCTATGGAGCAGTTCTACTCTGGACACATGGGGTTGCCATGAGTTGGGATCGACTCAATCGGCAATGGGTTCGGGGTTGGTTAGTGTATCTGGCAGCCTAATGAAATATACTGAGGACTGGTTCACAGGAAAGGAGCGTTGTTAGCACACTGGTTAAGCGCTCGGCTGTGAACTGAAAGGTCTGTGGTTCCAACTCGCCCACTGGCTCCACGGAAGAAAGACCTGGTGGTCTGCTCCTGTAAAGATTTACAGCCTTGGAAATCCTATGGGGCAGTTCTGCTCTGTCCTATAGGGTCACTTTGAGTGGAAATCGACTCAATGGCGCACAACAAGTTCACAAGACATATTTAACACAAAGTCAGCCGATGGGAAAATGGACTTATAACATGAAAATGCTCTGTGGGGATACTAGTTGTGTGCCAGCTGATTATGTCCCTGGGTTATAACTGAGTGCCTCTTCTTCACAAGAGGAGCTGGAAGACAAGCCTGAGCCTCCTTTCCTGTTTTTCTGGGGTGTGCTTTTCTGTATTTACCCTCTGCCCCTGGCTCAGAAGGCATAGGGCTCCTGATTCAGATTGTAGTTGTTGGTTACCTTCGAGCTGGCGCCAACTCATGGCGACCCCATGTACAACAGAATGAAATGTTGCCCCGTCTTGCGCCATCTTGAGTCCACTGTTGCAGCCGCTGTGTATTTTGAGTGCCTTCTAATTCAGGGGCTCATCTTCCAGCACTATACTGGACAATATTCTGTTGTGATCCATAGGGTTTTCATTGGCTAATTTTCAGAAGTAGAAGCCCTTTTTTCTTAGTCTGTCTTAGTGTGGAAGATCTATTGGAATCTGTCCACCATGGGTGACCCTGCTGGTATTTGAAATACCAGTGGATAGCTTCCAGGATCACAGTAACATGCAAGCCACCACAGAAGGACAGACTGACTGACGGGTGGTGGATTCTATGGCCCTGGGTATGATGGAGCCATTCTATGTATAAGACAAGCTCGCCTGCTCGCATCATTCTGAGCAGTCACCCTGATTTCTAGATCTTCTTTTTGTTTGTTGATTGTTGTAGTTTAAATGAAGTTTACATTTGAAGTTAGTCTCCCACACAAAAATTTATACCTACATTGTTATGTGACCCTAATTGCTCTCCTTATACTGTGACAGCATGCTCCTCCTTTCCACCTCTGATTCCCCATGTCCATTCAGCCAGCTCCTAACCCTCTAGATCTTTTTTATTTATTTTTATTTTATTGTTGTAGCTTAAGTGAAAGTTTACAATTCAAGTTAGTGTCCCATACAAAAGTTTATACATACATTGTTATATGACCCTAGTTGCTCTCCCTATACTCTGACAGCACACTCCTTTCCACCCCTGATTTCCTGTGTCCATTCAGCCAGCTCCTGACCCTCTCTGCCTTCTCGTCTCACCTCTGGACAGGAGCTGCCCATTTAGTCTCACGTATCTACCTGAACTAAGAAGCACACTCTTCAGGAGTATCATTTTATGTCCAATAGTCCTGATTTCTAGATCTTTACTTACAGTTTTTGCCATTGTCCAATTACATACCAGGTGTTTTTTGGAAGGCTTGCAGTACCATGACCCCCTCCACACGGCCTGTGCACGCTTGCTCCTGAGCACATGTGCACCTCTTGCACACCCCTCTTGCACAGCAGGGAAGGATTAACCCCGCTGTTCTCTGCTTTTTCAGATTTGCCTGAAGAACGTCTGGGCGATGGTATGGCAGCTGACAACGCAGAGACCTTCAGCGACAAAGACGCGGACCAGCAGGGCTCCCCAGACCTGGCCAAGGGCAAGAGCTGCGTGGCCCCCGAGAGCCCCGACATGGTGTCTGTGGATGAAGGCGGGTATGCCGTCCAGAAGAACGGGGGGTCCTCCGAGAGCCGCCCCCACAGCCCCAAGTACCACGCGGAACAGAACCACCTCCTGATCGAGGGCCCCTCGGGAACCTTGTCTCTGCCCTTCAGCTTGAAAGCCAACAGACCCCCGCTGGACGTGTTAAAAAAGATCTTCCCCAACCAGAAGCCGACGGTGCTGGAGCTGATCCTGAAGGGCTGCGGGGGGGACCTGGTGAGTGCCGTGGAGGTCCTCTTGTCCAGCCGGTCCTCCGTCACCGGGGCCGACCGAACTTCCGCAGAACCCGAGAGTCTGGTGCTGCCCTCCAACGGGCACATCTTCGAACACACCCTGAGTTCCTACCCCCTGTCCTCTTCCAAGTGGTCTGTGGGCTCGGCCTTCAGAGTCCCAGACACGCTGCGGTTCTCTGCCGACTCCGGCAATGTCGTGCCCAACCCCTTGGCGGTCCCCCTGCAGCAGCCCTTCCCCCAGCCACCCCGCTACCCTCTGATGCTGAGGAACACGCTGGCGCGCAACCAGCCGAGCCCCTTCTTGCCCAACGACGTCACGCTGTGGAACACCATGGCCCTGCAGCAGCAGTACCAGCTGAGACCCCAGTACGTCAGCCCTTTCTCCGCGAACTCTGCCGGCGTCTTCCGGAGCTCCCCCGTCCTCCCCAGCCGGGCCGCCGAAGACCCCAGGATCTCCCTTCCCGATGACGGGTGCCCAATCGTGTCCAAGCAGGCCATTTACACCGAGGACGAGTATGACGAGAGGTCCGACTCCTCAGACTCTAGAATACTCAACACGTCATCTTAATGTGGTATCCATGGATGGATGGGGACCAGATGACCTTTCTGTGCATCTGAACCCTGGGGTCCCCGCGGAGAGGCCACATCCCGTATACGGCCCTCTCTCCTGTCTGACAAAGTGACTGTGCTCGATTCTATCCATTAGCAATAAAAATAAAGCCCATAACTTATTTAATTCCATGCGCTTCACTGGAAAATGCCAAATAGCTCTCCTCCGCGGCTTTTCTGCTGACTGTTTTTTTGTAAAAGAGAGTCTCATGCTAAGAACAGTCTTGGGATAGCTGGGCCCACAGACAATTTATTTGGGGATGTGAAGCTGAAAGTCCCCCTTGCTCCTCGACGCAACCTGGAATGTTCAATAAAATACTATACTTGAATGCCATTTACTAAAGAGGATTCCTCAGGATAGATGAAGCCTCCAGGGAGTGGCTGGTTGGCAAAGGGACCAAGTAGGGACATTCTATTCCCATGCTAAAACTCCTCCTGGCAAGTTGAAGAGAGACTGCACCTCAGAATTAAAGGAACTGCTCATTGGGTTTTTTAAGCCTGGACAGTTTTCAGAGACAGACTCCATTAACAATTATTCTTTTCACATGGCTGAATCAAAACGTGTGTAATGTCGATGTAAAACCCATCACAGCTGTGAACTGCATGAAGTGTATTGTGAAATGAGCACCAGATCAAGCTCTGTCAGGTTCATGTAGCATGCGAAGGGCCCTAGGAAAAAAAATAAAGGAGATGATCTGGGTCTATGTCATTTCTGCTCGAGGAATGAGCGGCTCTAAAAATAGAAACCGGATGTTAACACTACCGACTAGAGACGGCCACGGACCAGGAACCAAGACGTCAGTTAAAATGAAGCATCCCTCCAGAAATGGGGATGGCAAAGTTCTGGGGCTGCACTCTGAAAGGCAGATCATTTGTTGTTCTAGAATTTAAAAAAAAAAAAAAATCCATTGCTGTCAAGTTGATTCCAACTCCTGGCGACCCCATGTGTTGGTGAAATCGGTCAAGTGCTTCACTATGAACCAAAAGGCTGATGGTTCAAAGCCACCCAGAGGCGCCTGGAAGAAACACCCAGGGATCTGCTTCTGAAAGGTCACGATCACTGAAAACCCTGTGGAGCACAGTTCCACTCTGATACCCATGAGGTTGCCATGATGATTTGGAGTTGACTCGATAGCAACTGGCTTTTTTTTTTTTTACTCTGTACAAGAGGATGCTCTATGTTATCTAGATTATCTACCCATGAATTGACGCTAAGCAGGCATTGTAATGGAGAGTCCAATTAAAAACAAGGTAAAAACTACACCCTACCAAAGATGGACGATCAAGTGTGGAAGGAGGTCAAGTGCTTAGCACAGTACCTGACATAGAGAAAGAAGTCAATAAATGAGAGCTATTACTCTTATTGTTGTTGTTTTAGGGAGCTCTGGTGGCGCTGTGGTTAAGTACTTGGCTGCTATCTAAAAGATTGGGGTCGGAAACCACCAGCAGCTCTAGCGGAGAAAGACCTGGTGATCTGCTCCCCTAAAGATTACCAAACCAAAAACCAAACCCATTGCTGTTGAGTCGATGCCGACTCACAGCAACCCTATAGGATAGAGTAGAACTGTCCCATAGGGGACAGAAGCTGACTGCCACATCTGTCTCCCGTGGCGCAGCTGGTGGGTTCAAACTGCCAACCTTTCGGTTAGCAGCTGAGCACTTCACCACTGTGCCACCAGGGCTTCTGTAAAGGTTACAGCCTAGAAAACCCTATAGGGCGGTTCTGCTCTGTCACATGGGGTCGCTATAAGTCAGAACTGACTTGATAGCACCCACCACCACCAACAGCATTATTCCTGTTAGTAAGTCAAACAGCATTGCGATCAGACTGTAGAAGTGAATTCCCTCATTCTCACTTGGAGAAAATGCCATTCTGGCTTGAGGGATCAACTTTTTATTATTATTATTTTTAAATTTTTGAGAGAACTTTTGGGGGTGCTGTACATGGGAAGGAAACCCTGGTGGCGTGGTGGTTAAGAACTATGGCTGCTAACCAAAAGGTCGGCAGTTCGAATCCACCAGGCACTCCTTGGAAACCCTTTGGGGCAGTTCTACTCTGTCCTATAAGGTCGCCATGAGTTGGAATCGACTCGACAGCAATGGGTTTGGTTTGGTTGTTTTGGTACATGGGAAACGTCTTGCTCAGGTATTTCTAAAGTGAATTTCCCAACAGGAATATTCAGTGGCTCCCACACCAACCACTTCTCATTTTCATTCTTCAAAGTACTTGAAGGGTGGGACGACTTAGGTCAGACGGTCTGCCGAGGAATGTGGACGGAAAGTAAACAAGCAGGTAAATTGAAGCCTCTCCGTGACAAGGATGCGGAGAGGCTGCCCACGCAGGAAGGTCTGGAGGGGCTGTTTAGCCTGGGGAGGAGAGGAAGGAGGATACGTCCTCTCAGCTAAGAGAGACCCTCCCTCACCTGGAGGTCAGGAGCTGGCATTGGCAACCCCTCACCCTTCAGTGGGTCCCTGGGAAAGAAGAGATTGTTTAAAAGAAAAACCGTCTCACTTCCATCGGGCCCTTTGGGGATGAGAACTTTTTCAGGGAAAACATTCTTTACATTAGCTGGACTCATGTGTACTTATGGAGCTCTGGTGGCGCAGTGGTTAAGCGCTCGGCTGCTAACCGGAAGGTCGGCGGTTTGAACCCAGCAGCTGCTCCGTGAAAGAAAGATGTAGCAGTCTGCTTCCATAAAGATTACAGCCCTGGAATCTTGGGGCAGTTCTACTCTGTCCTAGAGAGTCGCTATGAGTCCAAATCAATGGCAACAGGTTAACTTGTACTCGTCCTAGTTACACACCAGCGTGTTTAACAGTACATACGATTTGTTATCAGGGTTCTGTTTAAGCATTAGTGTTTCTATCAGGAAGAAAGTGAGGGAGTGGGAAGGAAGGTAACTTGTCCCGATTCCAAGGACCCATCTAGGATATGTGGTGAGGGAGTAACGGGCTATGTCTGGGCCTGCCCAGGACAAATGTGCTTTAAAAACGCATTCTCCATCTCAAAAGTTTACCCACATTTATTTAACAAGTAACCGTGGTCACAGGCCCCCTGTGGACCAATGATGCTACCAAGTCTGTCCTCAGCTGTCCCTTCTCCAGGCTGAATGACGCCGACTGAGCAGAACACGGCTGAGATGGTGCCCTGACAGTTTGATTTTGCCTGCAGGTCACCAGCATCGTTGACTTCTTTTTCAGATGGCCAGCTAAATGGAATTATCTGTAAGACAGTTTATTTGTGGGCTGGTGTAGTATGTTTCATCTTCAATACAATCTTCTGAAGAAAGCATTGTTTGGTTTGGTGGGGTAAGTGTGGCCAGGGCTTAAAGAGAGAAATTGGTTGATAGGATCCTGCTTCTATCAAGCGTCTGGCGTTTAGTGTTGCTTCCTCTCGTGGTTCGGGGGTAGACTCCTCCCCTTCCATGCGGGAGACTAGGGTTTGATTCCCAGCCGATGAACCTCATGCACAGCCACCCCCCGTCTGTCAGTGGAGGCTTGTGTGTTGCTATGACGCTGAACAGATTTCAGCGGAACTTCTAGACTAAGACAGATGAGGAAGAAAGGCCTGGCGAACTACTTCCAAAAACTGGCCAGTGAAAACCCTATGGATCATGGTGAGGGTGTAGGACCAGCAACATTTTCTTCTGTTTTGTGCCCTGGGTCATCCTGAGTCAGGGGCCAGCTCCAAGGCAGTTAACAACAATGACAGCAGTTCTGATTGCTGAGTCCCCTCAGGCTGAAGTGGCAAAGTGTCTTAGGTTTGAACTCAGCTCTTGAAGCCCCTTCTGCTATGGCAAGTAGGATTCAAGGGAAATGAGGATCCCCCCACTCTGGCCACAGGCACGCGATTACGCTTCCACATGAAACGGAACATCTGGATGAAAAAGTGAGAAAGGAAGTCAGCCAGCTCCTTCTAGTTAAACTCCATCTGCCACAGAGAAAACATCCGGGTTTTCAGTTTTCACAGCTGATATTCGACCTGTGGGTCTGACCAGTCTCACTTGGAGAAACCAGTTCACATTAAACCACAGTGTGTCTGCCAGCTCCTTGCTTACGGGGCACATTTGGTTCATCTGTAATGTGGGCATGAGATGGGTAAATCACGTTGCGCTAGAGCAGTTTTTCTGAAAGTGTGGTCCACGTACCCAGAGGCGGACTTTCTAGAGTAGATTCTTGGGCCCCACGTGTTGAGTCTGATTCCGTGGTTGCCTAAAAAAAAACCCAAAAACCAAACCTGTTGTGGTGTCAGTTCCGACTCATGGTGTATGCATATGTCTGTCTGTCTGTCTGCACAGCACATGCAGACAGGCTGTGCCTCAAACTTCCAGGCAACCATAAGACTGCTAAGCGTGAGACGCAGACCCCATGGGGGCTACATTCATCTGTGATCGAGCCGGACACACGAGACACTTCCACAGTGTTGGCAAAGCGAAAGCCGTTATTATTTATAGAAAACAAACATTAAATAACAACAACGGATTCCCAAAAAGAACCGCTTACCTGTCCCAGGTTACCCATGTCCATTCTTACGTCGCTCTGCAGGCGCTCTGTGGTTCAGGTCAGACGCTGTGTTCACGTCACTGCTGCCTCTGGCTCCCACCACACTGCTCGAGGGCCTGCACGGGTCCCCACGCTTCTGCTCTGCCGCTGGGCCTTGCTGCCGGCTGGAAGATCCCCGCACAGGATCTCCTGAGCCTCTGCTGCCGGGCCTCCCTGGCCTCGGCTGCCAGCTCTCGTCATGCTACCTGGGCTTGTGGGCTGTCTTGCCACCACGCTACCCTGGCACCACTGCCCAGGGAGGGAGGTGTGCAGCCGCTGCACGGGGCACGCTCAGGCCTCTCTTGCCCGCACAAGTGTTATAGCTCTTTCAGCTCCCAGCACACCTCCCAAAGGCGCTCAGCTCTTGCTCTGCTGCTGACGTCTCTCTCCATCTCCTGTGGTCTTCAGTGTTACAGC